GTTTCCCCATCATGATCTTGACTCCTTTGTTCATATTATTGCTCCTCCCTCACTTTGATTGTACTGCAGGAGCTTGACCCATTGGTTAGTTGTGGATTTCTGCATCTGCTTCCATCTGTTTCTGGAAGAGGGTTCTAGCTTCTCTGGGGTTGTGTCACTTCAATTGTACCCTAGGAGCTTGGCCCATTGGTTAGTTGTGAATTTCTGCCTCTGCTTCCATCTGTTTCTGGAAGAGGGTTCTAGCTTCTCTGGGGTTGTGGATTATAGGCTGGGTATCTTTTGCTTATGTCTGGTATCCACTTATGAGTGAGTGAATAATACTATATTTGTCTTTCTGGGTCTGGGTTACCTCACTCAGGATGATTTTTTTCTAGTTCCGTTTATTTGCCTGCAAATTTCAGGATGTCATTGATTCTTTCTGCTGAGTTGTACTCTGTTGTGTAAATATACCACATTTTCTCAATCCATTCTTTGGTTGAGGGGCATTTAGGTTGTTTCCAAGTTCTGGCTATTATGAATAATGTTGCTATGAACAGAGTTAAGTAAATGTCCTTTTGGTGTGAATGTGCTTCCTATGGGTATAAGCCCAACAGTGGTAGTGCAGGGTCTTGAGGTAGGTTGATTCTTAATTTTCTGAGAAATGGTCATACTGATTTCCACAGTGGCTGTACAAGTTTGCACTCCCACCAGCAATGGAGGAGGGTTCCTCTTTCACCACATCTTCTCCAGTATAAGCTGTTATCAGTGTTTTTGATCTTAGCCATTCTGATCAGTGTAAGATGGTTATCTCAGAATTGTTTTGATTTGCATTTCCCTGATGACTAAGGATGTTGAGCATTTCCTTAAGTGTCTTTCAGTCATTTGAGATTGTTCTGTTGAGAATTCTCTGTTTAGTTCTGTACCCCATTTTTAATTGGATTATTTGGTAGTTTGATGTCTAGTTTCTTGAGTTCTTTGTATATTTTGGAGATCAGCCCTCTGTTAGAAGTAAGGTTGGTGAAGATCTTTTCCCATCCTTAGGCAGCCGTATTGTCTTGTTGACCATGTTCTTTCCTTTACAGAAGCCTCTCAGTTTCAGGAGGTCCCTTTTATTAATTGTTGCTCTCAGTGTCTGTGCTACTGGTGTTCTATTTAGGAAGTGGTCTCCTGTGCTTATGCATTCCAGGGTACTGCCCACTTTCTCTTCTATGAGGTTCAGTGTGGATGGATTTATACTGAGGTCTTTGATCCCTTTGGATTTGAGTTTTGAGCATGGTGATAAATACGGATCTATCTGCAACTTCTACATGTCCACATCCAGTTACGCCAGCACCATCTGTTGAAGATGCTTTCTTTTTTCCATTTCACATATTTTAGCTTCTTTGTCAAAAATTAGGTGTTCATAGATGTGTGGGTTGATTTCAGGGTCTTCAATTCTATTCCATTGGTCTGCCTGTCTGTTTTTATGGCAATACCAATCTGTTTTCATTATTATAGCTCTATAATAGAGCTTGAAGTCAGGGATGGTGATGCCCCCAGATGATCCTTTATTGTACAGGGTTATTTTGACTAACCTGGGTTTTTTTGTTTTTCCATATGAAGTTGAGTATTATTTTTTCAAGATCTGTGAAGAATTGTGCTGGGATTTTGATGGGGATTGCATTGAATCTGTAGATTACTTTTGGTAGGATTGCCAATTTTACTATGTTGATCCTACCTATCCAAGAGCATGGGAGATCTTTCCATATTCTGATTATCTTCTTTAATTTCTTTCTTAAAAGACTTAAAGTTCTTGTCATACAGGCCTTTCACTTGTTTGGTTATAGTTACCCCAAGATATTTTATGTTATTTGTGGCTATTGTAAAGAGTGATGTTTCTCTGATTTCTTTCTGGGCCTGTTTATCATATGTATATAGGAAGGATACTGCGTTTTTGAGTTAATATTGTATCCTTATACATTACTGACAGTGTTTATCAGTTGTAGGGGGTACCCTGGTAGAATTTTGGGGGGTCACTTATATAAACTAGCTTGTCATTAGCAAATAGTGAGTTTGACTTTTTTTTTTTACTATATATTGCCTTATTATGTTTAGGTATGATCCTTGTATCCCTATTCTCTCCAAGACCTTTATCATGAAGGGGTGCTGAATTTTGTAGAAGGCTTTTTCAGCATCTAATGAGATAAATGATCATGTGGTTTTTTCTTTCAGTTTGTTTATATGGTGGATTACAATGACAGATTTTGGTATGCTGAATGATCCCTGCAGCGCTGGGATGAATCCTGCTTGGTCATGGTGGATGATTTTTATGATGTGTTCTTGAATTTGGTTTGCCGGTATTTTATTGAGTATTTTTGCATCAATGTTCATGAGAGAAATTGGTCTGTAATTCTCTTTCTTAATCGTGTCTTTGTGTGGTTTGGGTATCAGGGTAATTGTAGCCTCGTAAAAAGAGTTTGGCAATGTTCTTTCTGTTTCTATTGTGTGGAATAATTTGAGGAGTAGTGGTATTAGTTTTTCTTTGAATTTCTGGTAGAATTCTGTGCTGAAACCATCTGGGCCTGGGCTTTTTTGGTTGGGAGACTATTGATAACTGTTTCTATTTTCTTAGTGGTTATAAGTGTTTTTAAGTCATTTATCTGTTCTTGATTTAATTTTAGTATGTGGTACTTATCTACAAAATTGTCCATCTCCTTAAAGTTTTTCAATTTTGTGTAGTACAGGTTTTTGAAGTATGACCTGATGATTCTCTGGATTTCCTCAGTGTCTGTTGTTATGTACCCTTTTTGTTTCTGATTTTGTTAATTTGGATATTCTCTGTCTTTTGGTTAGTTTGGATAAAGGTTTGTCTATTTTGTTGAATTTCTTGAAGAACCAACTCTTTGTCTCATTGATTCTTTGTATTGTTTTCTTTGTTTTGAATTTATTGATTTCAGCCCTCAGTTTGACTATTTCTTGCCATCTACTCCTTCTGGGTAAGTTCGATTCTTTTTGATCTAGAGCTTTCAGTTGTTCTGGTTCTGTTAATTCACTAGTGTGGGGTTTTTCCAGCTTCTTTATGTAGGCATTTAGTGCTATGAACTTTCCTCTTAGCACTGCTTTCATTGTGTCCCATAAATTTGGGTATGTCCTGTGGTCATTTCCATTAAATCTTAGGAAGTCTTTAATTTCTTTCTTTATTTCTTCCTTGATCCAGTTGTTAATTCTTCAATTTCTATGATTTGTGGGCTTTCTGAAATTAATGTTGTTGAATTCTAGCTTTCAGCTGTGGTGATCCAATAAGATACATGGGTTATTCCAGTATTTTTATATCTGTTGTGGTTTGCTTTGTTACCGTGTATGTGGTCAATTTTTTAGAAGGTTCCATGAAGTGTTAAGAAGATTCTTTTGTGTTTGGGTGGAATGTTCTATTGATGTATGTTAAGCCCATTTGAGTCAGAGCATCTGTTAGTTCCTTATTTCTCTGTTAAGCTTCTGTCTGGCAGACCTGTCCAGTGGTGAGAGTGGGGTGTTGAAGTCTCCCATTATT